GTCGCCGGGACGCCGCGGCGTCTCCCGGTGGTTGCTCGAGGGCCTCGCCCGGTGCCCGGTGGACGGCCTGCCGGGCTCCGCACCTCGGCCAGGGCGACGGCGGGGCTCCGAACCTCCCGAAGACCTGAGAATCGCGCGTGGTTTGTGACCCCGAGCCTTCCGGGCCTATTTAAAGTCGGACCCGAACTCCGGAGTCGCACACCCCGCACACCCTCCGGGCCGTGGGGCAGCGGAGCCGTTTGCGGGGCGTGGGGGGGAGAGGGGGAGAACCGCATAGCGGACGCCGTCCGGTCCCCACGGGGCACCCGCCACACTTCCAGACAGCTCAGAGCGAGCCCGCCCCGAGTGACCACCGGCATTGCCAGGGAACGTTTGACACCTTCATCCCGAAGCTCCACGAGCCAGGCCTGTGGACGCGACGCTGGAGCGGCCGCGGGGCCGAGCGGGAGAAGCGCTTACACTTGTAAACTACTTTCACAGGAAAACTTTTTTTTCCTCTAGATTTTTAGAGACAAGGTCCATATAGCCTAGGCTGGATTCCCAACACTCCGTCCCAACACTGTATACTTATACATGTATAGGTGTGTGCTAGTACGGGGACTTAGCTCAGGGCCTGGGCAATGTACATTAATACATACACACACACACACACGGAGGCTAGCTTGAGCCACAGCTTCACTTCCGACTTTTTGGTGTTTAATTGGATTTTCCTGCTCGGGCTGGCTTGAAACTTTGATCCTCAGCTCTCAGGTCCCTGAACCAATTGACTTGGTTTAAAGTATATAACCTAAAGGTCTTCGGTATATTTATAATTGCCCAGCCATTTCCATGATCAATTTTAGATTTTTCCACTGCAAAAAGAAGCACACACCTGTTTGTAGTCACTCCCCAATTTAATCCTGATACCCCAGGTCCTAGTATGTTGTTTATATAGATTTGTCTAATCTGGATATGTCATGTGAATATAAGCATATGTACTTTTATGACAACTTTCCCTTAGCATAATTTTCAAGATTCAACCATGCTACAGCATGGATTACTACTTCTTTTGGTCAAATCCAACATTACCATTGTCTGGATCTATCATATCATTTGGTGATTTGGAGGAATGTTTTTGCTTTTGATGTTGACTGAACCCATGGCCTTGTGCATCCTAAGTACCTGATCTACTGTTGAGGTACACCCTAGCTTCTTTACTCATGTCATTTATTCGTTCATCAGTTAATAGTGCTATAGGAAATTTCCACATTTTGACTATTAGGAGTCTAAGAGTGCTATGAAGATTACTATCCAAGTTTTTGTATTTTTGTGTTTTGTATTTTGTGTTTTCATTTCTCTTGGATACAACTTTAGAAGTATTATTTCTAATTATGGTAACTCCAGTTTTTAATGTTTAGTGGAATTGCCACATTATTTTCCACAGTGATGGCAAGACCTGCATTCTCACTAGCAATGTATGAGGGTCTTACTTTGTGTTAGGTATTTCTTTTTTTCCTCCTATCTCTTTCCCAGTCTTATCTTTGTTTCTTCTTTGTTTTGGTCTTTCTTGTGTTTTTGTGTTTGTTTTTGTTTCTTAGTGTGAGGGATTTGCAGTAGTGCTGCAAAATAATTCTATTTCAGGGGCTGGGAAGGTGGCTCATTGGTAGAGTGCTTGCCTTGCATGCATGAGGTCCTAGGTTCAGTTCTTCAACACCACATAAGCAGAAAAGGCCAGAAGTGGTGCTGTGGTTTAAGTGGTAGTGTGCTAGCCTTGAGCTGACGAGCTGAGGGGCAGCACCCAGGCCCAGATTGCAGGCCCTACAACTGACCAAAATAATAATAATAATAATTCTATTTCAGTCCAACCTAAAGGATTCTATATTGTTTAAACTATGAAAAACAAAAACTTTTGATCTTTTTCAGGCATTATGATCTGAAACATTTGAGTTTGGAGCCCCCCAGCCAACAGTTTATTGTTAGGTGGGATTCATGATTTCCATCAAGTAGCTGAGCTTAATAGCAGCCAGTAACTCATCTGAAATCACTTTCACTAGATTTTTTTCTGTTTATGTCGTGCTGAGGAATCGAACCCAAGGCTTTGTGCGTGCTAGGCAAGCACTACTGCTAAGTCACATTCCCAGCCCCTGAAATCAAACACTTTCTAGATGGAAAATTAGGATTTAAACCATTCACTTCTCATTTATAGTCACACATTGGTGACTGTAGCCCTCTGTAATATTCACAATGACACATGACACATTTAATTGATTGATTGATTGATTGCAGTCTAGTGGATGGAAGCCTGAACTGCCACCATGCTAGGCAAATATCAAACCCACAAACTTAAATGTTTGTTATAGATCTATTTTCATCACTTTAAAAAGATATTTCAATTGAACTATAGCTCAAGTGGCAAACCACCTGCCTAGCAAGTTCAAACTTCAACACAACCAGAAAAAAAGTTTATATTAAAAGGAAAAAAGCATTCACTTTAAAAAAAATAGTGTATGTGCATGTGTAAGTTGGAAGTTAATATTCCAAAATTTTAATACTGACATATTTCCAGAACTTTATGGTTGGCAAAAAAGTATAATATTTATTTTTCACTGTCCTGTTTTTTTTTTGCAATGAATATATCACTTAACTACTAGGATATGAGAGATATTCGTTTTTTTTAGTACTATACCATGGATAATCTATGGCCATTGAAAATAATCTTACAAAAGACATTTTACTAACATAAGAAAATGCCTGTGATGCAGGCTGTCACGATGCATGGAATCTATTACATGCTAAAAATGTTCTACAATACCTTTTATATGACTTGAAGCAGGACAGATCAGGGAAATGAGGCAAAGGAGACAGAAATTCAGATAAACACCATATTACTGAATACTCTGATTTAAAGCAAGCCACAGGCACCATTTTCTTTGCTATAAGCCTATACTCCCTCAGTAAACATAACACATAGTAAAAATAAATAAAAGAGTTCTGTGACCTTGTCAACTTGCCCAAATAATTTAAATTAATGTGTTCTGGAAACTGAATCAGGATAGTTTAAAAACACTTATCCTAGAAAATTCTATTTGTCACCAAAAAAAGTTTGCAAAGTGAAAAACTTATCTCAAAGATGACCTTATGTATTAAAGGCATCTGACAGAACCCATTTTTAGATTAAAGGGATGTTCTAACATCTGTATTGTAATGATCAGCTTAATAGCTGGACCAACCTTGAAATCTCTGAACCCAATTAATAAGACAGTATAGCAGAAGGAATGATTAAAAAACTGGTTGTCAGCTGGCTGCTGGTGACTCACACCTGTAATCCTAGCTACTCAGGAGGCTGAGATCTGAGGATCATAGTTTGAAGTCAGTCCAGGTAGAAAAGTTTGTGAGACTATCTCCAATAAACTACACAGAAAAAGCAAAACGTGGCACTGTGGTCAAGTGGTAGATTGCTAACTTTGAGCTCAAAAAGGATCAGGGACAGCTCTCAGGCCCTGAATTCAAGCCCCAAGACCAGAAAAAAAAAAGGCTTTCAAGGGCCTCACATCTAAAATATACAAAACAAAATTCCACAAAGAAACAACAACCCAAATAATAAATTGGCTGAAGACCTAAAAAGAGATTTTTCAGAAGAAGAATGGCCAACAGACACAAGATGTTCAAAATCTCTGCCGATAAAAGAAATGCAAATCAAAACAACACTGAGATTTCACCTCACTCCAGATATAATGTCCAGTATCAAGGAAGCTAACAATAACAAATACTAACAGGGATGTGGCCAAAAGGGAACACTACTATGCTGTTGGTGAGAGCATGAACTCACTGAACCACTCTGGTAAGCAGTGTGCAAGCACCTTCCCCAGACTAAACATAGAGCTTCCCTATGACCCAGCAATCCCACTTCTGGGAATTTATCCAATTGGCCCCAAATCAGGCCACACTAAAGCCACCAGCACAACCATGTTCATTGCAACATTGTTTACCATAGCTAAGATATGAAATCAACCCAGATGCCCCTCAGTAAATGAATGGATCAAGAATACGTGGAATTCTACGCTTCCATCAGAAAGAATGACATAAGGAACTGCCCCATTTGTAAGGAACTAGAAAGACTTGGAAAAAATATATTGAGCAAAGTAAGCCAGACCCAGGTGTTTTCCCTCATTTGTAATAATTAGAACATGCCTATAAATTTATGAGTAAACTCAATGGATGGTAAAAGATGAAAATTTACACTTGAACGTGAGAAACAGGATTCTAAACATTCACACACTGAGACCAAAGGAGGGTATTCTTAGAAAAGGATCAAAAGGGCCCAATAGGTATGTGCAGATGACCATATAAAATGATGCTTGTCAAAATAAACAAGAAGTGGAAACGAGGTTTTATTTTTATTTTTGCAGTTCTTGTTTGTTCTGTGTATTTCCCCTTTTCTAGCTTTTTTTAAATTTCTGTACCTTTTATCTTGTATGTAAGTTTATCTGATTTGGGGAGGGGAAGGAGAAGCACAGAAATGGTGAGACAAGGGGCTGGGAAGGTGGCTCAGTGGTAGAGCGCTTGCCTTGCATGCATGAGGCCCTGGGTTCGATTCCTCAGCACCACATAAGCAAAAAGAAAAAAGCCGGAAGTGGCGCTGTGGCTCAAGTGGTAGAGCGCTAGCCTTGAGCTGAAGAGCTCAGGGACAGCACCCAGT